CTTTTCTAATGCGGATTGGGCTGGTAATCTTCATGACCGAACATCCACTAGTGCTTACATTGTTTATCTCGGCGGCAATCCTATCTCATGGTCTTCCAAGAAGCAGAAATTCATTGCTCGTTCATCCACTGAGTCTGAGTATCGCGCTGTCGCCTCTACAGCAGCTGAACTCTCTTGGATCACCTCTCTTCTTCAAGAACTCCGCATCACTGTTGCTCTTCCTACTATCTACTGTGATAACATGGGCGCTACGTACCTGTGTGCCAATCCAGTGTTTCACTTGCGTATGAGACATATTGCCATAGATTTTTACTTCGTTCGTGACAAAGTTGCTGCTGGTCAACTATGAGTCTCTCACGTGTCCACCCATGATCAACTTGCTGATCTTCTCACGAAACCACTTCCTAAACAACGCCACTTAATTCTCCGGTCCAAGATTGGTGTTTCCAATGGAAGCACCATCTTGCGGGGGCATGTTAGAGATTATCCAACCTCATCAGATGCACAAGACTCGGCTCCAACTTCCTGATATTCTCCTCAACTAAGATCTCCGCAAATCAAGGCTTTTGTTATACCATATCTGTACTATAGCTATAGTTAGCTTTTATCCCTAAATTATTTCCACTTTCTTAGCATGTAGTTACAACAAATGTATCTTATATTGGTGTATATATATCAAAGCTCATTAATGAATAAAAGTACAACTGTTTACCAAAATATATTTTCTGCAGCCTTGAAATCCTTTATAAAGAGCTATCGGTAGAAATTATTAATAGTACTTGAAGTGCTGCAAACACTGCTTTAAGTATGAGATATCATCCAAGCAAAGGTGAACACACGTAGTCAAAGATAGAGGGATAAAGAAACAAATGAGTAAATGACGGAGGACAGAATAAAACAGTGAATGATCACAAGTCAAACAGAGGCAAATTTATCCGACCAAGGATAAAGGGATAAAGGAACAAAGGAGTAAATAATCAGTGATGAAACACAGCAGTAAATGATCACAAATGAAACATAGGAGAAGAAACATCAAATGGAATAGAGAGAAACAAAAACACAGGCGGTAGATTAATGTAAAACAACAGCATTCTTAATTAAGCAATAAAAAAGCAGATGTGAACAGTACATAACTTCTAATAACAGAACACGTAATAAGGCATAGTCGGTTAACTAAAATTGAGGGAGCAAAATTTGCTAATTAAACAATAAAATCAATACTAATATAATATTTACTATAAAAGAAAGAGAGTGTTAAAAAAGAGAGTGACAGAACTCTAAAAACAATGGCCTCAGAGAAATGAAAAAGCAAAGGAAAAGAAAAAACAAAAACAAAAAAGAGGAAAAAAGCCACAAAAAATTTTCCCCTACGCGTTTTAGATAACGCAAGAAGAAAAAAATCAGCAACTTATTTAATATCTCTGCAAAAAAACAAGTATAAATCATTAAGCTGGCAAGACAAATCAGCAGTATACAGACTACAACTCAGCAATTCAGTAAATGAAAGAGGAAAAAATCAAGCTTTGTCACGCCCCAAAATCAGGGTTAGTGACGTGGAAACTCGTTTAGAGATTAAATATGATTAAAGAAAGTAATTAAACATTTGAAAATATAAAACTCAAAATCAAAGGTAAAATATTAAATAAAATTTCTAAACAAGCCTCACATTTAGCTGGAAATAAATTACAAGAAAGTGATGGGGACTCATACACTTTCTGAAAAACAAATTTAAAACTAAGCCTCCGACATCGTTCAGGGCTTCACCCACAGGATACACAATATCGTGCATACATGAACATGTAAATAATATTACAGACATCAACTACAGTCTAAATCCAAAGTTCAAAGTTTACAGAATTTACTATTCTTACATTTATGCACAAGGATGGTGAACACAATCCTCTTTTAATCGGGCAATAGCAACTAACTCAGCTACTTCGCACTACTCCTAGCATCACCTGGGAGGGGTTTAATATTTATAAAACAAATAAAACGTGAGCAAAAGGCCTAGTAGGACGTATTTTGAAATAACTCTTATAAACAAGTAAATAAATGAGTAAGCAAGTAAATAATAATTAAACAAGTAAATAAAGATATTCAGTTCCAACACAACAGTCGAAACCTTATATCATTTTTCTAAAAAGAAATGTAAACTCAAAATTCTAGATTACAGGCATCAGCAAGTAATTTATCCTCTGATAAATTACTTACACAACCACAAGCACAAGCCTTATCATCACCGTAGTGGCCCGGTCCGGGTTTCAGGTTCTGCCCCCAAGGATACATTCTTCATATCATATCTAGGCATCAGCTGGTTTATCGATTTGCAAGATCTCTTATCTTAAGAAATCATTTATTAAACTTTCTGAAATAGATCATTATAATTCCAATAGCTAAAATCAAGTTATTGTGTTAAAATATTTTTCTTTCGCAAATATGCCCTTTCTTTAAAACATTTGCAAGGCCAAAACTCTTTTGAAAACCGGCTATCGAAGAAAGGGATAAAGAATCCTGCCTCTTAAGCACCAAACTTGTGGCTAGAGTTGCGCTATTCCGGCTTTTGCTTCCTCAAAGCCTTTAATTCAACTCCTCAGCTAGCATTGATACAAAATAACACTTTAGGATCCAATTCTCATTCTTAAAGCAATTCAATCTCAATTATACACATCAATTTTCTATTAGTGTGTCTTAATTCAATTACCGGTTTCATAAATTATTTCATGTTTCAAATTATCATTCCAAGGGTTTTTAATCTCAAAACATAGATTAAATATGCTAATCCATCCACTTTAGGTCCCCAAATGAAACTAATTTGGGTTCTCTTTGAAAATTAGGTCAAAACAACATTTTTGGACAAAATATGGTCAAACCTCGTGTGCACCGGTTGACCGGTGACAGAGAGGTTATTCTCCACCGGTCAGCCGGTGGAGAAGGAAGGAACCAGTCGACCGGTGGGAGCCAGGTAGCTCGACCAACATGGCTGCTTTGAAGAAAATCCGGACAAAACCTGTAAATCCGAGTTCAAATCTGAAATATTATAAGGGGTAACAACCAAATCCAGGTTCTAGTTACTAAATCAAGTCCAAAGAACCAATGTTTCCCAATTTCCACTGTGATTTTATTCAAAATCCATCAAAATTCATTTCGAACCAAAAATATGTTTTCTAACTGAAAAATTTGGGATTCAAAAGAGGTTTTTCAGAATTTTTACCTCAAATCTTTCTCTTGACGTTGAAAACTCTTTGAAATTCTTTTTTGGTTCGAAATCCGGTTGGTTTGGTGAAGATTTGAACGAAAGAGAGAGAGAGAGAGAGGAACGAACGAGAGAGAGAGAGAGTGAAAACGACAATGAAGGAGAGAGAGAGTGCACGGGAAAAAGAAAAGAAAAGGAAGAAAAAAGAAAAAGAAAAAGGAAAAAGACATGTGTCAAAATATTTAAAAGATAGCCCAGAAAATGTGTCTATACACACTTCTGGGGTGAAAATATAATTACTGAAAATATTTAAATTCCTTAGAAATATTTAAATTTACACGTCATAAACATTTAATAAACAATAATTAGTTAATTAAACCATATTAGGCACACTAATAAATCTTAATTACCTTAATTAATCTCGTTTAATTTCTCGAGGTATTACAGAGCATTGAATCAACAAAGAGAAGGCTCCACCGATGCATATGGACTCCCTGCACAAAAGAATTCATCAAACCAAAATATAACGCAAAATCACATGAAAACCCAAAGCAAAAAGGAAAATAATACCAATGGAGAAACAACCAAAAAGAATTGAAGAATCCTGCGCCAACACATTAATGAGTTCTAAAGAATTTATAGAAAACAGTAACAAAATAAAACACCGGACAAAAAGGGAATAAAAATACTAAAAAAACACAAGGAAAAATTAACGATGAAGTATGCACTCTAAAAAAACCGCATAAAAACCCAAAGCAAAACAATAAATGAAACCAATGGAGAAGCAAACAAGAAGAATCAGACAGCTCTGTAGCAATAACACAAAAAAAAACCCAATGTAGATCGCAAATCTAAGTACTCAAAAAATCCATAACAGAAAAGGGATAAAAATCCCAACTCTCCATGCAAATGAGACAAAAGGGCCAAAGAGATCGAAGTTATAAGAGAACAGATGCAAGATTTCAACCCAAACCAAGTGAAATAAACGAATCAGAGGGGGAGAAAAAAAAAAGGACAAAGCAGCGGAGAAAAGTAGAAAGTCGTAGAAGGAGCAAACATAGGGCTCCACACGCGAAATGACCAAAAACCACATGCCAAAGGCAAAGCAAACGGTATCAAAACTTAAAAACCAAAATGCCCTTGTACTAGAAGAAGAAGAGAGCAGTAAATGGAAGGCAAAAATGTCATTTTAGTGTAGAAGGAACAATAAATTTAGTCTATGTGAACAGTGTCCCGAACTCTCTTTTAGTATATTTATAATGTTAGGTTGTAAATGGCTCCTAAATAAAAAGAATAAAACCCAGCCAAACTTGTGGGATTACAAAAACCTAGCCAACTGCCGATCAAAACTGACTCTTTAGCCGTGTTCGAAATTAATCTTGTTTTTGTTTTTCACATTTTTTGAGAAAAAAATAAAAACATTTCTAAAATGGCGTTTGACGCAATAAAGATAAAAAATGAAAACGAAAATGATTTTTTAGTTTAGTGTAAAATGAGAGAGAAATAAAAAATAACATTTAATTATTTTTTATTTTTTGTTTTTATTTTCAACTCTCCCTCGAGAGAAAGAGAGATATTAATGAGTTTTTTATACTGAAAAAAATCTCTTGATAAAATTACTAAACGCATTTTTAAAAATAATTTTTGTCTAAAATTAAAAATATTTTTATTTTCATATAAAAAATAAAATTATTTTAGAATGAGTTTTAAATGCGTTTTTAAAGTCGAAAAAAAAAGAAAAAAAAATCCATTTTTTTTGTCTGGGAAGAAGAAAATCCTCTGGAAAAAAAAAAAAAGGAAAACCCTTTTCAAGGTTACGAATTTTGTAGTAAGGTAAAATTGAACCCAAATTCCCAGTTATCGGCAGAGTGAAAACCCCTCAACTGCCACTTATCGTCTGGTCGCCATCCTCGCCGCTGGTCGCCATTGCTGCTGATTTGGTCGATCGCGGCAGCAATGTGGGGTTCTATTCTCTTCGTTACAATTTCCTTTTTTTTTTTTTGGTGATTTTGCTTGGAATTTTCTAATAGGAAAATCTTCTTCTTTTCAATTGTTTTATTATTATTGTTGTTATTATTTTTTATATTTTAAGAACGGTTCCTGAAACACGTTGGAAGAATCGAAAATGGCGGAAATGGGCTAAATGGGGAAATGGTTGGAACCCGCCCCGACTTTAGACAGATTTTTTGTTTTGTTTTGTTTTGTTTTGCTTTTCTGTTTCCTTCTTTTTTCTTTTTGATGAAACACCGTTTTTGGGTTTGGCAGATTCTGTTTGCATGTCGAATTGAATTCAACTGAAGAAGTAGATTGTGCCGACGCAATGGTAAGTTGGTTCTGATTATTTCTCGCAACTTTTTTCGTGGAAAAGTGCGGGAAAACGACGTTTAACTGAAAGTAATGGGACTCTTTTTTTTTTTTTTTTTTTTTTTTTTTTTTTTTTTTTTTTTTTCTTTTTTCTTTTTTGTTCTTCTCCGAGAATGATATATAAAAGTTTATATTTTGAAGTTTCATTCGGTTTCTTTTACTTTCTTTCTTGTTTGATTTTGTTTTCTTTGGGTTTGTTTGTTTGTTTGTATGTTATGCATTTATAAAGTCACAGTCAGATATTAGGAAGTGGTTTATGAAGTCCCACGAAAAGGGCAATGGCAATTCGGCCTCAAAGCCTGCGAAATCTGCTCAAGCTCTGCCCGAAGAGCCGGTGAGTTCTGTCGTCATTGTTTCTTTTCTTTTTGGTGATTAAAGTTTTTGTTGCATTGTTTTTCAGTGTTTGTAACTTCCAGTCTAGGGTTTTAGATCCTGGGTTTAGGAATACGGTTGTGAGAGAATAAGGTTGCGAGAGAAAAACCCCGTAACAAAATCAAAATTATGGGTTTTAACTCAGGAAACAAACAACCCCTAAATACCGGGTATTTTTTTTTTTTTTGGCTGAAAAGCTAAATACAATATGTATTTTTCTTTATGGGTATCAAATACAATCTGTATTGGGAATGTTAATTTTGAATTTTTTGGGGCTAAATACCAAATGAACTGTCAAAGACATTTCTTATCAGTGTGTGCGGCGCGTTTAAATATATAAACATATGTATACATGTATACACACACTTTTCTCGTAGGAGTCAAACGAGGAGAAGATTAATATGTCAAAGATTTTGGTTTTTCTCTCTAGTTTCGTGACAAGTGGGAAGACATGTATGGGGAAATCACCAAAAACAATATTTATGAAGAGTGGCATTAATAATGAAATCTTAATCCTTATTATTTCCTTTGTTTTTTTAATTGTTTTCAATTCGATTCTGACTAACCCAGGTGCAAGGAAGCCAAGATAATTCAGGCAGAAGAAAGACTAGCAAATATTTTTCTGCAGAGAAGCCGAAAGATGAAAAGGAGATGGTTGAGGTTCCAGTGAAAAGAAAGACTCAAACTGATAGTCACGAGATGGTAAAACCGTCGCCCGCAAAAAAGATTCACAAAGTTGATGATGACGACGACTTCGTTTTGCCCAACACTAAGGAAAAACCAGTTGCTTCCACCCCAAGAAAGAAACTTAAGAGCGGATCTGGAAGGGGAACTGGACAGAAACCCTTGGATATTGATGAAAGTGATGATGGTGATGATGATGAAGTAAAACATGTAGAAACTCCTTCCAAATCCGGTGGGAGGGGTCGTGGTGGTGGAAGAGGTGCCTCAGTGGCGCCATCTGGTGGAAGAGGAAGAGGTGCAGGGCGTGGTGGATTTATGAATTTTGGAGAAAGAAAAGATCCTCCACACAAAGGGGAAAAGGTTAAACTTAGGATTTTCTTGATTGATTTATAAATTGCATTGAATTGGTTTTATTTGAATTTTAGTTTTAGTTCGTTACATTAATTTTGGATCTTTTTTTGGCTCATTTTAGGAAGTTCCTGAAGGTGCTTCGGATTGTTTAGCTGGTTTAACTTTTGTAATTAGTGGTACACTTGACAGGTAGATTTTCTAACCTTTCTGTTCATGCAAACTCATTTTGATGGTAAACGGAGTCCTTTGCATCAACTGTTATGAAGTTGTAGAGTAATATTTTTGAGGCTTGTCGGATTGGATTAAGAAGAGGCCTCTTTTATTCTCTCTCTCTCTCTCTCTCTCTTTTTCCCAACAATTTGTTATATATGTATTGTACATGAGTTACAACTCTCTGGTGTTGTTTCTAACAGATCTTAATTACAGATGTTCTTTGTAAATTGTAACTATGAAGTAAAATTACATTTACAACTTTAATACACATCAATGCAATTTTTAAGATGCCGTTCAATCGTTCATGCTGATTATTATTGCTCTTTTATTATTTTCAGCTTATTTTTTGTTTGTATATAATTTTCAGCTTCAGAATGTATTTTGAAGTATTACTGTGATTGCAGTTTGGAAAGGGAGGAAGCAGAAGACTTGATCAAATGCCATGGTGGCCGTGTTACCGGATCTGTGAGCAAGAAAACGGTGATTTTATACTCCTCTCTCTCATTTACTTGGGTTCAGCATGAAACTACTGCCATGTGATTAACTTAGTATCTTTGCAGAACTATCTTCTTTGTGATGAAGATATTGAGGGGAGAAAATCCGAAAAAGCTAAAGAGCTTGGGTATGTTATCTTGGACGGGTATTAAGATGCATTTCTCAACTTACTCTTTGTGCCCTTTAACTTATCTTTCTTCACCCCATGCAGCACACCGTTTCTTAGTGAAGACGGGTTATTTGATATGATACGTGCATCAAGCCGTGCTAAACCTAAACAAGAATCAAAGAAATCTGTGGATGATGCGGATGTGCCAATATCAAAGAAAAGCATGCAGAAAATAGAACTTAAGAGTATGATCCAGTTAACTAAGTGGTTTTATAATTCAACATCTAAATTAAAGACAGGCCTTTACTATGTAGCTTAAATTATCTAAAATACTGAGAAGATTTTATTTTTATTTGTTGTTTTATGTTGTGTTATACATGATACATGCTTGGTATTACCTTTCTTTGATTATATGTCGTTGTGATTCTTGTTTTATTATCACATTTTAGCTTCCCCAAATGTCTATCTATATCTCTGCCGGTTTGTTTAGTGCCAAACTGTCAACTATTTGGTTTGCTATATTAGTTTAACTAGATTAGATGCATCATGTTTCTGGGACTTTCTCTTATAACTTTGGCATATTAATTTGGTTATTTTACAAGATTGCACTGGCAGCGCAGCACCAAAAGATGTAGCCAGTAAAAGTTTGGCAGCAAGGGCCTCCCTTGATAGGAAAAAAATCCAGACCGCTGAGCATTCTGCTTTGACATGGACCGAAAAATATAAGCCAAAGGTTACAAATGATATTATCGGAAATCAGTCATTGGTATGTGTCAGTTATCATTTTGCATCTAACGTATGTTAAGTATTTTTGGCTTCACTTTTCATCTTAACATGTTTTTATCTAGAAAGATTTGAAATTAAAGTTGATCCTGTGGCGTCCAGGTGAAACAGCTTCACTATTGGTTAGCAAATTGGCACGAGCAATTTCTTGATGCAGGAAGTAAGAAAAAAGGCAAAAAAGCAAATGATCCTGGTGTGAAAAAGGCTGTACTATTAAGTGGAACACCTGGTATAGGGAAAACAACGTCAGCGAAGCTGGTCAGTCAGATGCTCGGTTTCCAGATGATTGAGGTGGTGTCTAATATTATTAAAATACATTGGCCATGGAAGCATATAATTTGCCAAATTATGTCATTGAATCATTTGGTATTTTCTCCCTACTTGATACTACACAAACTTTGTTTAGGTAAATGCTAGTGACAGCCGTGGGAAGGCTGATGCCAAGATTGAAAAAGGAATTGGAGGAAGCAATGCAAATTCAATAAAAGAACTTGTTAGCAATGAGGCCCTGAGTGTTAACATGGATTGGTTGGTTTTTTGTTTTCACTATTTCTTGGACTTTCACATTGTATTTTTTTTTAAATTTATTTATAGAAATGGATCATTAATCATAAAAGAATCATGAAGTACAAGGCAATGAGGACGTGATTTTCACCTGAAAAAAAATAGCACTTTCACCACTCTGTAGAGTTGAGTTATTATTGTTATTATCTTTGTAAAAGCTTAATTAGTGGTTCAAATGCAGGTCAAAGCATCCAAAAACTGTGCTCATTATGGATGAGGTAGATGGAATGTCTGCTGGAGATAGGGGTGGTATTGCTGATCTTATTTCTAGCATCAAAATATCCAAGATTCCTATTATCTGCATTTGCAATGATCGCTACAGTCAGAAACTGAAAAGTCTTGTGAACTACTGTTTGCTTCTCAGCTTTCGGAAGCCTACTAAGCAACAGGTTTTTGTTTTAGTTTTCTGTCCAGTAAATACTTTTTAAAATTTTTATTTTTTGTTATTTGTTGCAGGACTGAACAGATTTGTTACTTGAATAGGAAAAGAATATTTGAAAGCATATGTGAAATTTCAGTTACTTGAGACAATCTTTTCTTCTGATCAATTGCTAACCCATTGACTGGTTCTTTTTCCTTGTGGAAATGCTTAAAAGGCAATTGCCTGCGTTGTTAGTATTTCTTCCGATTTCTATTGGCCAGAATTGATTTCTAGTGTAATAATTACAAGAAAAGTACAAATGTATAGAAAGTAAGATAATGCCTAATCCCTATGGATGTAGCATACTACTAGAATTGGATTATCTCTTAGATTCGTTGATTGTAGATAACTTCTGAGAGTTAATGCATGTAGACTATGATTAAGGGCTCTCTCTCTCTCTCTCTCTCTCTCTCTCTCTCTCTCTCTTAATTGACAAAAGTAGACGTACTAAAACCAACTTTAATTAGAATTACTTTCCAACAACTTAGGTCTCCAAAAGTAATCCCAAAATGGCCCTATCTAGACTTGCATGTCTTTGTGTGAACAGATGTGTTGAATGCATGGCATGTGTGTACATGCTTCCATGTGCCCACACTTTTTTTTTTTTTCCCGATAAAGTCCGTACCCACATTTGTAATGAGTGAGCATTTTTTCATTTCTTGACTTTGTAATTTGTTTCCATGTTTGACATGGTTATGGCGTACTATTGTCACTGATAATACATTTGGGTTCTGATAGATGGCAAAGAGGTTAATGCAAGTTGCAAATTCTGAAGGTCTTCAAGTTAACGAGGTGACTACTCTAAAATTAGCTTATTTTATGATTAAAATTTTTTGTTCACTGTTGTCAATTTGTTTTGAGGACAGTAGAACTTGACTTTATTATGTCTGCCCTTCTCTGCTCTCTCTCTCTCTTCTTGATATTTCTATAGACCTAATTCTTCTAGGCAACTGAACTCTTGTTGACGATATTTCAGTATCATTTGCTTTTGTATTTTAGGCGGTTGAATTATCCTTCTCTTTTTTGAATGTTCATGCATTTTTCTTTACTAATCTCTCCTTCCCAAAATCTTAGTTATATAACTCTGTTTTCGTAATCTCTACGATTCTGTTTCTTTTCCAGATTGCTCTAGAGGAACTTGCAGAAAGAGTTAGTGGAGACATGCGCATGGCACTAAATCAGTTGCATTATATGAGCCTCTCAATGTCAGTTATAAAATATGATGATGTGCGGCAGCGCTTGCTTGCCAGTGCAAAGGATGAAGATATTTCACCTTTTACAGCAGTTGATAAGTATGATGTTTTTCTTGTGCTCTATGCATTCAGCTCTTTGTACTTGCTAAAATGTTTTGTTTTTTAGTGAAACTGTCTGTATAAATACTATTTATCTCCTCCAGACTGTGTGCGTGTTGATTTGCTTTAGGCTTCGCTGCTTTTTGCTCAGTTGCTTATGAGTTTTTCTTTGTTTATGCTTAGTTTGTGGAATTTGATGAATTGTGAGTTTCAGGATTATTGTTTGTGTTAAAGAGGATATCTTATCCTCTAAAGTTTTCTGTGTAACCTGTGTATTCTTAACACAGTTATCGCTACTATCATCTAATTTTGTTGGAAATCTGTCATATGTGATAATTGTACCGATTACTCATTTGAGTATTTCAGTAGAACATATTTAGCTTGAAATAACTATTTGTTTTATGTTCTTTTTCGTGTTTGTTGTTTCTTGTTCTCTATCAATTAATAATTAGTAAGACAAAAACGATAAAAGCAATTTCAATTAATTCACACGTTATGCTAACCAGTCTGTTATCCTTGTAGGTTGTTTGGTTTTAATGCAGGGAAGTTGAGGATGGATGAGAGGATGGACCTCAGCATGAGTGATCTTGATCTAGTTCCTCTTCTTATTCAGGTTATTTTTATTATTATTATTTTTTTCAAGAATCCTGTTTGCATTACCATTTTACTATTTTCATTGCGGTGATTAACAATGTCAGCAAATTATTATATAAACAACCAAGTGATTTATTAGATACCAAAAGTCCCACATGAAATCATTATATGATGATTAGTGGTATGTGCCCTTTGGGTCCCTCCCCTTGCAAGCCGGTTTTGCAAGAGTGAGTTCTACCTAATGGCTTCCTAACATGTTTTTTCTTCCTTTACTTGCTCTCTCTCTTGTCTGTACAATAATCCAATATCTTATCATCTACTGAGATAATCAGAACAGTGGTTATGTAACATTATAACAATTTGATATCTCTTATAGTCTTATTGTAAATAAATATTTCTTTAACCTTTAAATTATCTGGCAGGAAAATTATGTCAATTATAGGCCAAGTTCAGTTGGTAAAGATGACAATGGGATAAGTCGTATGAGCTTGATTGCTCGTGCCGCTGAGTCTATTGGGGATGGAGACATTTTCAATGTACAGATTAGAAAGTATCGGCAATGGCAGCTCTCTCAAAGTAGTGCCCTTTCATCCTGTATAATTCCGTATGTTTTCTGTTCAGATCTGGGAATTGAAAAAATTTATATTTTGTTTTTACCCTTTTATTTTGTGTAGTTCTTTATGTACTTTTTCATTTTGTTGCAATCAGTACTGCACTGTTGCATGGGCAAAGGCAGATACTTGAGCAGGTAATGGATTTACATTTCGTGCAAATGCTCTCTGAAACTATCAAATTTGCTGACTTGTCTATTTGATCGTGGGAAACTCCATTAAAGGCCCCTTGCTATTTTTTGTTTTCTCCTTCCACTTGTTATTTAACAAGTGTTACTTTCCATCTCTGATTTCTTACGTTTGATTTTTCACCATTAAATTTAGTAGGACAAGTACTTCGATGTGTGCTACTCTTTTACAAGACAGAAGCTTATTTGACCCATCTGTTCGGCTGTGAACGTGAAAAAATGCAATCCCTATAAATGATAAACGAACCTTGACAAATTTTGGTTTTGACATTCTCTTGGATGTTCAATCATATTTTGGGAAATTTTGATGGATGATCGTTTTGGACATTATCTAAGACATTTACTCTTAGAAAATGTCCATAATCTTTTCAGATTTGTAAGTATTTTGTGTTGTGATTTATATTAGTAAGTCAATGATTTAATACCAAATGGGCATAAATGAAAAAAAAAATGACACTTTTGTAAAGGGGTCCAAAATTTTGGCTAGTTTATCCACATGCCGATAGGCTCCTGGAAGTTAGTTTGGTTAGAGTGTGATCTGTTATGGCTTTAGGTGTTGGTTTTGTTAGTCTAGCTGCTAGTAATGGTTAGAAGAGAATGAGAAGTATAAAAGGGAGGGATTAGTGGTTAGAGAGGTCATGTCTGATTAGTGGGAAAATTTGGGAAAACTTGGGAGAGTTGGTGGTCTCTCGAATACCACCATTTTTAGGGTTTACTTTGTAATCTCTATTATTTCATCAATATAGTTCTATTTTTTTTTTTTTTTTTTTTTTTCTGTTCAAATTGCTCTGTTCATGTTCGGTTCTTATCACATACTCTTGCATTGGAGAAGATGGTTTTGATCCCAAAATGACCTGTGTATCCTGAGGGAAATGATTTTATGTAAATTTGTCAGGAAATGATTTTATGTAAATTTGGTTATGCTGTTTATGCCAAAATGACCCTTTGTTTGCAGGGGGAGAGGAATTTTAATAGATTCAGTGGGTGGCTCGGAAAGAACTCAACATTCAATAAAAATATGAGACTTTTGGAGGATTTGCATGTCCATCTTCTTGCTTCCCGCGAATCGAATTCTGGAAGGTGATTCTCTGTTCTTTGTTTGAATTCTGCTAGATTAATCTCACATAGGATGTGTGAACATTTGATATATCCTGCCTTCCTTTTAAGGGTGTATATATATCCTGAACTCTTGGTACTTTTAGGATTTTGTATTTTCCTTCTTTTTTGATTTTACTTTCCATTGTTTAGGCAGAGTGGTTGTTTTGCATTTGTTCTTTTCTTTTTCGTTTCTTCTTCCATTTTAATCATGCAGTCTTGTTAATGATCCAGGGGAACCCTGCGGATTGAGTACCTTACTCTTCTTTTGAAACGATTGACTGAGCCACTCCGTGTGCTGCCTAAGGTTGAAAATTCAGTTTGTTTATGTTGTATGAATGGTTTGAATTTGTCATTTTGAATTTCTTTAATACATTATTATTGAATATTTATATTGTTTTGGGAACTGACCATCAGGATGGAGCAGTCCGGGAAGTAGTGGATTTCATGAATACTTATTCTATTAGTCAAGAAGATTTCGATACTATTGTGGAGTTATCCAAGTTTAAGGTAGTATTACCTTGGTTGGATAGGTTTGGTTAATTGGAACTGTGTTTTTTTCCCCTTCAAAATTACATGTTGTGGTGATATATTAAACAGGGGCGGCCAGATCCTTTGGGTGGCATTGCATCAGCTGTTAAAGCCGCTCTGACAAGAGCGTACAAAGAAGGAAGCAAGTCTCGGATGGTAAGAACTGCAGATTTTGTCACTCTTCCCGGGATTAAAAAGGCCCCTAAAAAGAGGATTGCGGCAATTCTAGAACCATCTGATGAAGGTGTTGGAGAAAACAATGAAGAGGCCGCAGCAGAAATTGAAGAGGAAAATCTCTCGGATACAGAAGACTTGGGTAAGTCTGCGTTTTGTTTTTTTGATTTGTCAGCCCCAAAGAAGTGAAAAGTAAATACTTTCCGTCGACGACATCCTTCCAATTAGAAAAGTATAATAGAGAGGAAAGTATCTTAAAAAAACTCAAGAAGATACCCACATTAACTCGAGTAAAATTTGTTCTTCCCATAGAGAAATTACGTTGGGCATTTGTCGGTTGTTTTGTGCACCTAGCTCTGGATGCTGCTTCTTTGGTAGTGTATGATAAATTAATTCATTTATTTTCCCCTCTAAATGGTCCATACTAGGGAGCATCAGTACCACCAGTGTGATCCTTGTGTTCCCTTAATGAAAATTAATTTACTAATTTTAGTTATTATAAGGCAATGAAAATGGAGCTGGATCCACTAAAATGCTGCTCTAACGTCCTTTAACAGTTGCCCCATTTTCTAAACTGTGCTTCTATAAACCAACAAAGCTTTTGTAAGCAATTAGTAGAGGTAGCAGTAGCCTAAAAGCATGAAGGGACAGTGGATTACACGGTTAAATTTTCTTTTCTTAGAGATTTTCTTTTAAAATCTTTCAGAAGATTCTGCTGCTGGTGAGAAGCTGCAAAAGGAACTTCAAAGCTTGAACAAGAAAGGTAGGCCATATTGTCTCAAATTAATGTCGTGCTTCACTTCACCTAATTAATGCATATTTTTGTTGCGACTGAAAAATCATTTGAATAAACTGATCACTGAGTCCTTATGATTGGAAGGAGTCCAAGTGCACTTGGATTTGAAGGACTCGGGAAAGTCGAGTGCAAAGAAAGCGCCAACAGGCCGAGGAAAAGGTGGTTCAAGTGCCGCAGATAAAAAGACTACTGCACGGGGTTCAGCGACTTCTGCCAAGAGAAAGAGATGAGAGAAAGTGACGTTGAGGATCAGTGGTCCTATCTTTTCATAATCGGTTTCGTTTGTAGGATATTTGGAGAGGGTTTCTTTTTTGTTCGCTTGTCCCTCATTGGCATGCTAGTATTTGTTCAGAAGGGATTGCCATATTGCTGTATATATAGTTGTGAAGTCCTAGATGGACATTTTGAGTGCTTGGAATTATGCAATGGAGTTCCTGGTCCATGTATTTTCAACTGTTACGATGCATGAGATCTCTAACACTGATCAAAGTATCTATCTATATCTATATCTATATCTATATAATAGAAATGGCAGATGCGGGTACTGTTACCAAACGCGTGGTAACAGTAACAGACCCGCACGGTAGTTTTTTTTTTTTTTGTTTTTTTTTTTTTGTTTTTTGTTTTTTGTTTTTTGTTTTTGTTTTTTTGTTTTTAAGTCTAATTGCCTCGGAATTTGCCACATTGTTTAATTCCCTAAACTTATAATACTTTTAATTTTGACAATTAATTTCCTAAACTTATAAATTTCTTGTAATGTGTCATATTTTATTAAATTTGTTTAAAATTTTCTATTAGATTTAAGGGATTAAAAATTGAAAGATTTGTGTTGTATTTAACTTGGCATGTTAAAATTTTTTGTTAAACATGTTTTTTCAATACTAATTGAACACAATCATCGTCAAAATAAGGTGTATTGTAACAACTTTACAAGTTGAGAGGGTAATTTGTTAAAATTAAAAATTTAGGGTGTAATTTGTTAAACCACAAGTTTAAGGGGCAAATATGTTAAAAACCATTTTTTTGTTTTTGTTTTTGTTTTTTTTTTTTTGGTTGCTGCTCTCCATGATTTATCTTTTAGTTTTCCGCTTTTCATCTCCTCTTTTTCCTTTTGTTTTTTCTCCTAAAATTTTATATTTTCTTGCTTATATATTTCTTTCTAATGGTACCTTAAAACTTATTTATTCTTTCATTTTAGTCCTTTTTTTACCTTTTTTTTTTATTTTTGTCCTGAAATAATATCTTCCTTTTATTTTAGTTCCTTTTGCCCTAAAACTTATTTGTCTTCATTTTGGTCCATTTTTGACTTTTTTTTTCTTTCTATTTTTCTTATTATTTCTTCATTTTAGTCTCATTTTATCTTCTTTTTTGCTAATTCCCCTAAAACTTTATTTTTTTTAAATTTTCGTTTCTTTTGGGGATTTGGTATATATATGTTATATATTCTTAATAATAACACAATAATTAAAACTTAATACACAATCACTTCTCACGTGCTTAGCACGTGTTCTTCAACTAGTTTCATTCAAAAAACAACTTTTGGTTGGTGGGAATTTAGAGAAAATTCATGGACTATGGACGCTAGACGATCGAGTGCCCTCTTTTGTGCATGTTTAGAAATGAAAAGAAAAATGGTAAATAGCCATTGGTTCCTAACCTTTTAGGAGTTTGGCATTTAGATTCCTTGTCATTTTTTCTTGGCGTCAATTTTATTTTAGTGGCTTCTCTTGTCTTTTCAATCTTCTTTGGTCAAAAGCTACTGGTAGGAAAAACCTTTAAAGGGGTCACGTGAGCTGCAATTTTTGAATCTACTCATTATCTCTAACTGGACAAATACGATATTTTTAGATAAATATGGTATATGTTGGTTTTTGACACTAATAGTTAGATTTTTAGGTACTCTATTTATCGGTTGGCAGCGTTGGCGATTGGAATTCTGAGTAAATATGGTATTTTTAGTTTTTAAGCTCTCGTTTGTTTTACTAGTTTAGTTCAGTTTAACTTAGTTCGAACGGTGAGTACAATTTGAACTCGTGTTTGATAAGCACGTAGTTCGAATTATATTCCCCGTTTGAATTGAGTTAAACTATCCAATTAAGAGTTTAGCTCCCCCTTTAAGATCAACTGTTCAAATCATTTTTGAACACTAAAATGGTGCACTCTCTCTACTTTTCAAACCTATCAAACACAAATTTGATTTTTTTTCCTCTTCAGATTAAAATTTTATCTACATATCGAAAAGTCAATTCGAACTACAATTTAAGCAATACAGTTCAATTTTTTCTCTTCAAATAAAAAAGTTCAAATCAACAAAATTTGAACCAGTGAACCTAACATGGGCTAAGTAAATATGGTATTTTCAAGTAAATTACCGTATTTACCGGTCGCTGGTGCTGGTCACCAGTCACCAGTGCTGGTGCTGATCATGGTGGACTTGACAAGAGAAGGGCAGGAGATATCGGAGAAGGAAAAAGAGTTAGAGGGGAAAAACTTTAGATATTAAATTTTGGTATAATTTACATATTTTAAAAAATTATACTATGATGTTTTTTAATATAAAAATTATACTACAATTCACTAATTGTTATTTCACTCATTTTTGTTCTTAACCCTTATATCAATTCAAATAGAGAAAATTGCTTAGCTTGACTAATATAATATTGACTAAAAAAGATATTAATTAAGAGTAAGAGGTAAAAATTCAGACTCATACACTCTAAAGTATATTTGTTTCATTTTTAAAAAACCCAAAAATCTAGAGTTTAGGAAGCGGGTTTGGGTCTAAGGGCCCAGTCACCTACTCGGATTGCTCTAGTAATCTGAAGACTTATCTTTTTGAGAAAATTACATAATTTACCTTTAAAAGTGTACGAGTCTGGACTTTTACTCCCTTTTGTTAATGTAATTATTTGAATAAAAGGTTATGAATTAAGAGTAAAAGGTAAAAATTTTGACTCATGCACTTTCAAGAGGTATTTGTTAAGATTACCATATCTTTTTACCTTAAGCCCCATTGGGTCATACTTGAAGACATCGGTCAAGTTTTTTGTTTTGACGTTAGTCATTCTATCACTTAATTGTTACAAGAAAATCGAGAAAATTGCAAAAAGTAACCCTTAAACACATCATTATGATGTTCTATCCTTTTACTTAATAAGTTATCCTTTTGATAATAATATGTGAAATTATAGATAATAATTTATCAAATTTTAGATAATAATTTTTTAAATTACGCTCGCCACCGGTGACCAGAGACCCGTTATTGGCGACATCTGTCAAATTATTGATAATAATTTGTCAAATTACTTACTCTAAAATAGAAAAATTTAATAGGTTAATGTTGAGACCCAAAAATCTTTAATGGCACTATTTTAAGGGTATTTGTCAAAATTATTATGCAATTTAATATAATGTAAAAATTACACGATCTGACACTTTTTTGAGGGGTGAATTGTGGCTTAATTCTACAAATATCATTTATGACTTATTTTTGTATTATGTTTCTTGACAATCTAAAAATACTAATTAAATTGACTTTATCCATTCTCATAGTTGAATTTCTTATATATATATATATATATGTATACGCGTACTTATTATCTCTTTCTTTTTAATGTTTGCTTTCAAATTTTTGTATCATTTGTATAGATGGTGTCAATATGCATTAGTATAATGATATATCCATCATCATAATAATAATATACAAAAATTACATTCGTTTATTTTCGTGTCTTAATTAATATTCTTCATATGCTTTTATTATAATGATATATTCATTATTGTAATAATATATTCTTTCTTTTTATCAATCAGTTTTTGTCTGTATATGTAAAAATATATATACATATATAAATTTAATTATAATCTTGTTAGTATCTTAATTATGTTGCTAGTATATAAAAAAACAAAAATTATGTTGTTAGTATGTTAATGACTCTGTGAAGGAGAAAATTTTAAATCGTGGTTTTTCAATACTTATGTATTTGATATTGAGCAAGAAATGCCATAATTTTTGAGATTTGATTCATTCAAAAAAAAAAAAAGTTAATGATTCTACATATTGACGCATAAAATTAATGTGTGCTCCCAAATTGGTAAGATTTTGCTTTGCATCCATCAATCAAAACTTAGTCGTATTCCATCTGAACTCAAAATACACGGCACAAAGAAAAGGAAAAAGCAACAGACAAGGAAAAAGAAGAAAAAGCTAAAGAAATTTATTCTCAAAGACGCAAAAAAAAAAAAAAGAAAGAAAAAAAAACGAATTTAATCGGCCTAAACATAATTTTAGTCATTACTGGAGAATGAATTCAAATAAATGCTCCTGAGAATCAAGTGCTCATAAGATTAGCTACATTCATTGACAATTAATAGAGCCAGAAATTTGTTTTGTATATTGTACGTAATTTCTTCTTACTTATTACATAATTTAATTTTTATATATGTTCTTCAAAATAGTGAAGATTTTGTTGTGAATCCGTCATTAAAACGTATTTAAACGGTGCATAAATTTCAGACATACGAGACAAAGAAAGAGAGAGAAAAAAAAAAAGAAAAAAAAAAAAAGAAAAAGCGAAAGAAAAATTCCTTGCTTCATACAAGGACGAAAAGTGAAAGCATATAGGCCTAAAGATAAATTAGTTATAACTTGAGGATGAATTTAAATCAAATCTCCTTTCATTATTGTTGCGACAAAGCCCCCTGAGCTCCGAAGAAGACGCTATATATATATATATATATAAAGGTAGAATGACCTCAGCAAAAAAAAAAAAAAAAGAAAGGTAGCTAGAATGATGTGAAGCTGTTGAGATTTATCAATAATTATTGTAATCTCATGTTTAATTCTTTCTTGATTTGGGATAACACAGTTGTATAAATTAGGTGTGAACAAAATATTAGGCTTAACCGTAGGACTTGATTTTGCCTCGTTCAGTTTGTTAATTCGAGCTGAGATGTAATTTTTTATGAGAATTTTTAATTATAATAAAAAAAGTTAAATATGACTTTTGAAAACTCGAACGATTATATAAAATGTAACTTTAGGAAGATTTCTTACTCAATGTCTCTTTATATAATTCTGTACAAGCTAATTAAAGTGTGTACGAATGGCAATATTCCTCTTATTTTCAAGTTAAAGTACGATTCAAACGCAACATTTTTCTAGTACTATATATGTAAGAAATTACAAACTTGTAAATAAATAATGTTATATTATAGAACTAATTTGTGCACACGTCAACCACTCTAGCTCTTCTTCTGATTGTTATTATTAAACATCATTTCTTCACCTTTAATGCAAATTTTGTATGATTTTATTTTATTTTTTTAAAATATGGACATTAAAGCATCTCCAATACAGTTTTGCATTAACATGCCAATACCAAATTTAAATACTTGAGTAGCAAAATTACTCTTTAATGCAAATAATATTTTGTCATTAAAGTAGGTAGGACACGTACACTTCGGTTTTGGGTTTGCGTTTCTGATTGAGGAGTGAGAAACTTATATTGACGTATTTGTTCAGTTGTAACTTGTAAGCATGGAGAGAGTGCTATCCCTATTAAAGATAAAGAAAACCTGGAGAGATTTCATTATTATATTATCTTCCTTGGACGTTTAATAATATTTTGGGAAACTGTGATGACATTTCCACTTACAAAAATGTCCTTATTGGTTTTTTGTTTTTGTTTTTCGTTTTCCAAAGATTCGTGTATGGATTTGTAAGTCAGTGATTTATTGAAAATGGACATAATTAAATGAAAAATGAAATCCGGGACATTTTTGTAAAAGTTCCGAAGTTTTGGCCAATTTATCCACATAATTAATATATAGATTCGATAGGTGAGACTCAATCAAAGACATGCCCTCGGCCCTTTTTAATGTTGTTGGACCTTTTTTGTTTTGTTTTTATTAATTTAAAGTAGTTCATTTTGTTCATTTTAGAAGCTATCATTTAGAATTAAGAAGCAAAAAAAAAAAAAAAAAAACAATTTAGAATTAAAAAAAAAAAAAAAAAAAAAAAAAAAAAAATCCTAATCCAAACAAAACTGCTGATCTCCTTCAGTTCTTCGACAAATCATAGCAACAACCATACCACCAGCCTTCATCGACTCTGGCGACTGAGCAGCAACAATGACAACAACTACTCTCCTCTCCCTTCTTCTTGTTTGCGGCGTAATGTATTCTTTTACTATTTAAGTTATACATACATATATATATATATTATATTTTTTTTTTTTTTTCATTACCTCAACAGCAGTCTTAGAGGATGTTTGGTAGAGGGATTCGTTCCCTGATTCGAATCATGATTCGTGGTTCGCTACAGTATTTTCTCTCATAAAAAATACACGTAAATCGAAAATGATTCAAATCACATTATTTGAATCCTCCAACCAAACGTCCTCTTAATTTAAGCATTGTCGTGCTCCTAATTAAAGAAAATCCTTGAAGCTGCAAAGAAAATGATCCCATAAATAAAACCCTTTATGGTGTTTGTGTCTTGTCTATATATGTGGGGGATTAATCCACCAGAACATAAGCTAGGGAGTGGAGAATTTACATTATATATATATATATATGTATGTATGGATATGTATATGTACAATAGGTCGCACACAAGATATTACAACTGCCCTTGAGTTCTTTTACACGAGCGAAAATAATGAAAAAAAAAAAAAAAAGGAATGACGAGAGAAATAAGACGCACTCAATCTTCTAGATACAACGACTTTATTTAACCGCTATTATGTAAAATCAACAACATTATCCCAATTCTCATTACTATACGAAACAAATTAAGGGCACATCAAGACAACTTTAGAAATTCGCTTGCAGTTTTCCACTCCAACTTTGCAGCCTCATCCAAGCACGCTTTTGTGAATGTCGGATCTGGAGAAGTCTCAAGAAATTTCTCACATTTCTCAAGTTTATTTTTGAAGTCATCAAGTTTTTGCTTTATTGTTTTAGGGACGTCCACTTGGAGTTTTTTTAATTGAGAATTAAAAAAGGCTTTTGTGATCTTCTGTAGAGATTGCTTTAGAAAATCAACTTCAAAGTCGACCCTCCAATAAGCGAATTCCACGTAGAAATACCAATCTTGAAGAAGATCGTGAGTGATGTCTTGGACCATGGTACTGCGCAATTGCTTCACCACCTTACATAAAAAGGAAACGGCAATGCTCTTCATTTCTGTTGATGACTCAGAAAACCGAAAAATACCTTCATCAGTTTTGCGAAGTAAGATTTTCAAAACAGGGGCCAAAGTAAAAGGTACCTTGTAACCTTTAACTTCAACAATCTTTAATGCTAAGTCGCTAACGTTTATTTTCAACTTTCTTCTGTAAAAGTTTCTCCTAAGTGAGTATGAGAAACTGCTAAAATCGTCCGCGGTAAAACGGGAAAGTCGTAGAAGCTCGTCAATATACTCATCCCTAAGATCAAGTTGATCACTAGTCCTTTGGCTGCTAACTCCTTGTCCCTGCTTATTCTCCTGATCATGAGATGATGTATCCCATTCGAAATCCACCTTGAACCAACTTAGCTCATGGCCTGGTATTTTATCAAGTAATTCTTTAAAGGTCATGGAAGACTTGGCCTGCTCTTCCTCTCCCACATTCATTTCTTCGGAGATCCACAGATTTGTTCCACATGTCTTCAGCTCCACAGCTGTAAGGTCTCCCTTTAGCACATTTACAATCTGATCATCACATTGAAGCTCCGCATTCAAAGAAAAGAAAAGAAAAAAAGACCCCGTACAAGTTGAACAAATTAGGACAAATAACACAAGCAATTATGATACCATATTGAAAATGGATTCAATAAGGAACATACCTCAGAAATCAAGCAGTGCACATGAGCAAAAAATTTACACTCTTGACAATAATAAATCCGAATCCTTGGATCCCTTTCACTTTCGCAAACATCACAATAATATTCACCCGAATCGTCTTCCTCGAACGAATCCACAAGGATGAGGGGGTCTACATGGTACTTGAATTTAATGATTGATGGTAACGGACCACATAGCAAGTGCACTTTGAAATCACAATCCAAACAATGGAATATAGAACACTGGGTATGAGAAAGTTCAATGCTATTTGAGAGAACTGGGTGTCTACAATAGGCATCATAACCATTGCAAGGACCAAGTTCAGTGTATGGGTTCTCTTCCAAAAAACAAAGAAGGTGCTCATGGTCTTGGTACCTAATGCTATTGATTCCTTTCACCGTCGTACCACATTTCACACACAACTGAAAGCTACAGCTATGACATTTAAAAAACAAAGTCTGCCTATCTCTCTTTTCACATAAACTGCATGTGAAATAGTCATGCGTAACAACGAGGGTGAGAAGGCCGTGGTTTGGATGGACAGAATGTTGGATTTCCAGCGGCAACTCAGCACAAGATTTATGAAGGAAGTGCTTACATTTTGTGCAGCCATAAGCCGTAAGTGATGAGCATGTTAAGTGACATACAAAGCAATTGTCGTCGGCCTTAACAAGTGGCATCGGGTGTTGATGAGTGAAATGCTGAATGTGGTCTTGGTCTTCACATGATATGGGGGGCATCAAAGCACATGCCAAATCCATTTTAAAATTGCATTGACCACATGTAAAACAGAGGGTATTTGTGAATGATTGGTGACAAGAGTAGCAATAAAAGTTTTCGCGAACACATAAAGTGAGAAGGCCGTGGGAAGGATGAAAGGGGTGGTTGATTTGATGAGGCAACTCAGCACAAGATTTGTGGACATAAAATTTGCACGGATCACAAGCGTAGTAAGTATAAGCCTCGGCCCACTGTTTACATATTCCGCAAGTAAAGGATGTTGGCTGTCCTTGTTGGTCATCCTTTCTAATTAGGAGCAAAGGATGTTGTTGGTGACTCCAGTGTTGAATTGTCTGATCCATTTCTCTCTGTAGATGCTTACTCCTATCAATATATATATATATAATATATATATACACACACACAGTGAATACAAATAATTAGCTACATAAATATTATTATGTATCCCTTTTTTAACATAGTATTTATCTAAAATGGAGTAAGAAGAACTAGTAATTGTTTGTGATCTAAAAATGACATGGGAAGGCAGAACTATATATATATATAGTGAACACAAAAAATTAGCTACATAAATATTATTATGTATCCCTTTTTTAACATAGTATTTATCTAAAATGGAATAAGAAGAAATAGTAATTGTGTGTGACCTAAATATGACATGGGAAGGCAGAACTACGTATACCTTGACCGAAAAATATGACTAATTACGGCCTTGATTCGACATCAATTAATGCTTCTTGACTATAAAATATTCTGAATTTCTACTTGCAATAAAGAAAAAACAAAAAATAATGTACGTAGAAAACAAAAGTCATACTTGCAGTTATCAATTTAGAGGGGCGAAAAAATTTACTTACCAATTATAATTCACCCAAGAACATTCAGCATAAAACGAGAATCATTCAAAAAAATCACAATTGTTGTGGATTAAAGGAAGACTTAAAATTATTATTATTATTATTTTTTTTAGGGTAAGAAAGGAAGACTTAAATCAGGTTGACAGAGAGAGATGATCTAGAGATAGTGTGTTAAGAAATTATCAGAAGGGTGAAGCATGGAGAGGTAGAAGAGACGTTTTGTAGCTTTATATAGGCCGTGAGAAGACTAAGAGAATGGATGACAAAAAAGGAAAAAAAATACAAAGAAAAAGAAAAAGAAAAAGGAAGAAAAGGAAAAAGCAATAGAAAAAGAAGTGAGAATTTTCGTTGCTTCCTAATCAAACAACGAGAAAAAAAATTGTACTACGTACATTAATAAGTGCCTAACTTGTGAGTAGTATCCGAGAAAAAATGAAAATGAAATGTTGGATGGATTTTCCGGAGCTAATAAAATGTAATGTTTTCAAATGACCCGAACGTACACCCGAGCTTACGCTAGGGAAACCACCAAAGCGTACGCTAGGAAAACCACCTGAGCATACGCTAGGATAATTACATGAGTGTGCGCTATGATAACTACCCAAGCCTATGCTCAGGTAGGGAAGAAGTTGAAAGGTCAAGAGTTATCAACCATCAATGTCAAGTAACGGTTGACGATTAAGGACATTTAATGACTCAACTTTAATTAGTTTATTAATTGTTTGTAACATCCAAAAAGGTGAAGAGCTTTATTGTATTGAAGAGAGAATAAACTCTCGAATTAATGGGAGGAATTAAACCCCCAATCCCCAATATACTATAAATTTTCTCAATTTGAGAGGAAAAGAGACGCACTCATTCTTGAATACAATTGCTCTGTGATTGTCTACACTTTGTTCTTGTTATTTTTCTGAGGTTCTTTGTGTTCTTATAATTTTCTTAGATAATTTACTTATTCAATCTGAATCATTAGTCTAAGGACGTTGGATAACTATTGAAAGAAATTTTACTCTAACACGAAAGATTAACGAAGAAGCCTATCAAATGTAACCCTAATTGTGTTATGCATATGAATGATAAGAAATTGCGTCTGGTGGGAATTAAATTTTTACAATAAAAGTTTATATAATTTAATTTTTATTTGTCTTTCCAAATAGTAATGATTCTATTGTGTATCCATCAATTTGTATTCCATACAGATTAAGATACACAAGACAAAATAAAAAGTAAAAGAAAAAAGAGCAGACCAGGAAAAAAAAAGACAAAAGAAAACTAGTCAAATACCTTTCTTGATTCTCAAGGAGGAAAAAAGAAATTAATTGGGCTAAAGATAAAGGCATCAACGTAATGCGGATGCCAAAATATATACAAGGACAAATAAAACTTTTAATAGTCCAGCACAAATTATATAGTCCATCATAACTCACAAGGAGTGTAAAATAAGGGAGAAAGAAGGAAGCGTGAGAAGAAATAATTTTTGTTTAAGGTGGTTTTATTCACACATTCTTTCTTTCTCTCCACACTCCCTTTTAATTAAAACTTTTTATTAAAAAAGCTCCTCACATCAAATGACAAAAAGAGACAATTACGATAGACTTAATTACATAATTAAATTAATAATAAGAAAATTAATGATTTTTTCGCTCTCCAAACACTTCACGTATTGTATCCCTAAATTTTCACTTTTCACTGATTATTCTAAAAAATTTCATAGAAGTATACCATTTTTTTAATTTATTTGTTCTGTGACAATTGTTCATTTACCTTTTTCATTTCATTTTTTTTTCTAGTCATTTCACTTTCTTAAGACTAATCATATTATTTTTCATTTTTTATAAAGTTTTGTTGATTGCACATTTTCCATTTCATTCTTTTTTTTCCTTGTGGTCATATTTTCTTAACAGCTTTTTTTTTTATTTTTTTATTTTTATCAATTTGTCTTTTTGGATTGTACATATTAATATAATATAATTATGTTGATGTTGAAACACTAGGTTCATTAGGAAGAATAGTAAGTCATAATAAGATATAATTTGAATAACGTGAAAAACGATTAAAGTACGCAAACCAATAAAAACACTACGTAAATAAATTATGTTCGTAGAAATGATAACATTGCGACATAGCAGGAATTGGAACATGACATGTATCGCTTACGAAAATAACACACTTATTAAAAACGTAAGCCTAGTAACTCAACGAGATTACTATAATCCAAACATGAAATGATGGAACACTAGGTTAATTATGAAGAGTAATGGATTATCACATGGTCTGGTTAAAATAATGTGGAAAATAATTGAAGTACACATATCGATAAAAATAATACACAAAGAAAAAATTAGGACCATAAAAATGGTAGCCCCGTGAGATAACAGGAATCGGAACATTATGTATTGGTCCCAATAAGTGTATTGCTTATGAAATATTTTGTTAATATTATGTATTTAGAAATTTAATATTTATTTTACGGTTATAATGGTTCTGTAAATTGTGGCCAAAAAATTGATAACACACGGGATTAATAGGCCAACCCGTGGGACAACGAATAAACATCATGTATTTTTTTTTTTATATTTAGGAAGAACATATAACGACGGTTTTCGCTTGAAACTGTGATTAAATATTAACATTAGATGTCAGTTTTATAAAAAACCGTTGTCTAAAATAACACCCTAACTCTATTTTTCATGAAATTAGACGACGGTTTACTAAAAAAACTATCGTCTAGTCTAGTTTTTAACGAGGAATAATTACCGTCGTTATGTGCCACAAACATTTAACGACTCATGATTAGACGACAGTTCTCCTAACTGTCGTCTAATCTTTTAATAACGGTTATTAACGTTCATTACATTCCAGATTTCTACTAGTGAGCATTAGTCTTATATGATATATATATATATATATTTATATTTATATATGTGTGTATGTATGTATTTATGTAGAAAAAGAGTTGCAATACATCACACTTTACTGCCCTTAAATAGTTTATGATGAGAGAACATTATTGGAAAAAAAAAAAGAAATGAAGAGAAAAATAAGGCACAATCAATCTTCTAATGTGTGGCTTTAGTTAACCGCTATTATATAAAACCAACAACATTATCCCAGTCCCCATTATTATATGAAACAAATTAAAGGCACACAAAACAAAATTAAACTTAGCTAATTGCAGTATTCCACTCCAACTTTGCAGCCTCATTCAAGCACTCATTCACAAATTTTGGCTTTGGAGAAGTCTGGCGAAATTTCTGACATTCCTGAAGTTTAGTTTCGTATTGAAGTTGCAGGAGTTTTAGCTCATCAATTTTTTTGCTTATTATTGTAGGGACGTTTGATTCAACTTTTTTAAGTTGGAAACCAAAAAAAGCTCTTGTGATTTTCTGTAGATATTGCTTTAGAAAGTTGACTTTTAAGTTGACCCTATAATCAGCGAATTCGACGTAGAAATACCAATCTTGAAGAAGATCTTTGGTGATGTCTTGGACCCTGGTACTATGCATTTGCTTTACCACCTTACATAAAAAGGAAAGGGCAATGCTCTTCACTGCAAGTGATTCCTTGGAATCCACACAAATATCTTTATATTTGCGAAGTAAGACTTTTAGAACAGGGGCCAAAGTAAAAGGGACCTTATAACCCTCAATGTCAATGACTTTCAATGCTAAATCGTCAGAGTTTATTTTCAAGCTTTTCCTGTAAAAGTATCTCTTAAGGGCATTAGTGAAGTTGCTGAAATCCACTTCAGTATAGCGACAAAGTCGTAGAAGCTCATTAATATAGTCATCTGTAAGATTAAGCTGATCAGCAGTGCTTTGACTAACAGCTTGTTGTCCCTTATTCTCCTCATGAGATGATGTATCCCATGTGAAATCACTCGTGAGCCACTGTGCCTCACTTAGTGCGGTGTTTAATAAATCTTTAAAGGTTACGGAAGACTTGGCCTGCACTTTCTCTGCCAGAAGTACAGCTTCTTCAGAAAAATTCCAGAAATCTGCTCCAATGGTCTTCAGCTCCACATTACTAAGGTCTCCCTTAAGTACTTTAATAATCTGATCATAATTAATTAGCTCTGCATCAGATGTGTGGCAGGGATAAAGTTGCATCTACCATAACGCAAGAATTTACAATAGAAGATGTGGAATATTCACTAAAAGAATCAAGCAAACCCACCCTGTTGGTACGTGAGCAAAAAATTTACAAGATGAAAAAAGAGAAATAATTGAAATACCATATTGAAAATGGATTCGATAAAGAACATACCTCAGACATCACGCAGTGCACATGAGCAAAAAATTTACACTCTTCACAATAATACAACCGAATTCTTGGATCTCTTTCAGTTTCACAAACATCACAATAATATTCGCCCGAATTGTCTTCCTCGAGCGAATCCACAAGGATGAGAGGGTGTTTGTGGTACTCATATTGAATGACCGCTGGCAATGGACCACATAGCAAGTGCACTTTGAAATCACAATCCAAACAACGGAATATAGAACACTGGGTATGAGAAAATTCAGTGGCATTGGAGAGAACTGGGTGTTTACAATAGGCATCGTAGCTGTTGCAAAGACCAAGTTTATTGTATGTGTTCTCCAGAAAACAAAGAAGGTGCTCATGGTCCTCATACCTAATGCTATTGATTCCTTTCACCGTCATACCACATTTCACACACAACTGAAACGTACACTGACGACATTTAAACAATAAGGTCTGGCCGTCTTTCTTGTCACATAAACTGCAAGTGAACCAGGCATGCGTAACACCAAGGGTGAGAAGGCCGTGATTGGGATGGACAGAATGTTTGATTTCTCGTGGCAACTCTGCACATGATTTATGCAAGAAATGCCTACATTTTGTGCAGCCATAATCCGTACCAGATGAACATGTTAAGTGACATACGAAGCATAATTTAGTTTCATTTCTGTTGTCAACGTCCTGAACAAGTGGCAATGGGTGCTGGTGAGAGAAATGCTGGATGTGCTCTTGGCTTTCACATGTTATAGGGGGCATCAAAGCACATTTCACGTCCATTTCAAAATTGCATTGAACACATTTGAAAGAGACAGCATTTCTGAAGTATTGGTGACAAGAGTCGCAATAATAGTTTCTGCGAGTAGACAAGGCGAGAGGGTGGGAAGGATGAAAAGAGTGGTTGATTTGACGAGGCGACTCAGCACAAGATTTGTGGACATAAAATTTGCATGAATCACAGACATAGTAGAGTTCATCATTAACAGCCACGGAATACTCATCACATATTTCGCAGGTAAAGGATGTTGGTAATCCTTGTTGCTCATCCTTTCTTAGGAGCAAAGGATGTTGTTGGTGACTCCAGTGTTCAATCTGATTCATTTCTCTCTGTAATTTCTCACACCTAACAATATATATATATATATATATATAATATCAAACACAAAATTAGCTAAATATGTATATATTTTATGCATCTATTAATTAATGAAATATTTAATCTAAAATGAATAAAAAAACGTACTGTTTTTATGTTGTCTAAATCATAGGAGAAGTGATGTAGCGGAAGCGTAAAAGACGTATATTATTGAGAGAACTCTCATAGGACTTTATTAATAACCAAAAACTGAATGACAAAGTAAAACTGAAGGCCTTTAAATTGAAAACTAATCTTAACCTACGGCAAAGCAAAGTACATAAAATCCTAATAGAAGAGATAATTCCTAAAGATAACTCCTATTTTAAAATATTCGCTAATTATGCTGCATCATTAAGGCATAACCAAGTATATATTGGCTACTTCTTGTTTATAAAATGTTTTGAACTTTTTGTTTACATGTATGCAAACAAAAGTCACAAAAAAAACAAAAAACAAAAAAAAAATAAAGAAAAACAAAAACAAAAACAAAAACAAAAACAAAAAACAAAAACAAAAACAAAAAAACAAAGAACAAAAGTCATCAATTTGGAGGGGAAAAAAAATCAGCTTACCAATTATAATAACTAACCCAATAGCATTTAGCAGGGAGCGATAGTCATCTGAGAAAATCATAATTGGGGTGAATCAAAGTAAGAATAAAAATAATGTTGAAAGAGAGAAATGCTGTATAGAGATTATTGGATGGCAAGAAACTGTTAGAAAAGGTGAAGCATGGAGGTTCAAGGGTGAAAGAAGAGGTTCAAGCATTGGTAGCGAGAAGACCAAGATAGGTTGAAGACAAAAAAGAAAAGGAAAAGAAAAAGAAGAAAGAAAAAGAGAGAAAAAAAAAGGAGGGAGAAATAGAATTTTCTTTGCTTCCTAGTCGAACAACAAAAAATAAAATAAAATAAAATAAAAATAAAAATAAAAATAAAAATGTATTATCATGATGAGTGTCAAGATGTGAGCATTACTTGGCCGAGTTATTTTTAGTCACTAGATTCAAGTGTTGCTGAATCTAAGTTGAAAGAGAGAAATGATATATAGAGATTATAGGATGGCAAGTGGTTGTTAGAAAGGATGAAGCATGGAGGTTCAAGGGTGAAAGAAGAGACGGTTTGTAGCTATATTGGTAGCGAGAAGACCAAGATAGGTTGAAGACAAAAAAGAAAAGGAAAAGAAAAAGAAAAGGAAAAGAAAAAAGAAAAAGAAGAAAGAAGAAAGAAGAAAGAAAAAGAGGGAAAAAAAGGAGGGAGATTTAGAATTATCTTTGCTTCCTAATCCCGCAAAAAATAAAAAATAAAAAATAAAAGTAAAAATGTATTATCATGAGTGGCAAGATGGGGAGCATTACTTGCCCGAGTTATTTTTTATCACGAGATTCAAGTGTTGCTGAATTTAAGATGAAAAATTGAAACGACCGCTTAATGAAAACGAAAAAAGGAAAAAAAAAAAAATGAAGAGTAGACAATGAAAAGAATAAAAGGCAAAAGAAAATTCCTTACCGACGAAAAAAGAAATTAATAGGCACAAAGGCAAATTTGTTAAAATTTGAGGACGAATTCAAATCAAAACTAACAAGAACATAGCTGGGACAATAAAGCCCCCCCATGAGCTCATCATCAGAAGATGCTATAAAGGCAGCTGAATGACGCAAATAGCCTGGTTGTTATGCTATCATTATGCTAATGGTTAGACTTTGATTTACTTGCATATAATACAAATTAATTATTAATTCTATGATTTAATTTTTACAATAAAAATTCTGCAATTTAATTTCTAAGTACGTGTTTCGAAACAGTGAACAGTATTGCGCATCCAATAATTATTGATGGTATGCTATACGTATCTAAGACAACAAAAAAAAAAAAAAAAAAAAAAAGGAAAAACTAAAAAAGAGCATATATCATACACAAATTAATTACAGAAGTGTTAGATGTATCTGTCTTTTAAATAAATTTATCTATAGTGAAAAGAAGTTGCACGTTGTGTGTGATCTACATCATGTGAGATGACAGCAATAAGTATTGACAAAAAAATACATGAAATATCTGTAGTTTTACTTTTTAGTCATTTTGTCTCTCTTATTATATATATAAATACCTGAAATATCGCAGGTCTTCATTTAAACATCAAGTTTATCTATCGTATTTTTTAAAGTGGTCCAAAAAAAAAAAACAAAAAAAAATCTTGACCAGTGAAATGCACCAGTCAACTTTTTAAACAATCAATACTACCCTCAATAATTTGTACAAAAAACATATTAGTAACAAACTAACCCTAAAGGGAATCAATTCTTCAAAATTTTAAACAACACTAAATCGATCTTAAATAATATTTAAAAACATTAATGAACTAGAATATTAATAAAATAAAGCTTAAAAAACTCATGAGACACAACAAAGGAAAATAATAGGAGCCAATAGAAGGGGGAAAAATTCTATGGCTAATAAAAAAAGGTTGCCTCGTCCCAAGGAGATCTAACTGTTGAAAGGCGCTACATGAGATCTTTCATCGTAAGATTGTCCCCGCACGGGGGTCTTCATTGCAATATGAAAAAGAAGTAGAAGTTTTTTTTTTTTTTTTATTGGAAACACAATTATTGGCCACCTCTTTAGCAACTCAATTGGCACATTTAGATTTCCATGGCTAACTAACAAGAACCGAACAAAGACCGTAATCCATAGAGGCACTATATAATGAAGATGAGTTTGCCCAAAACCTATTCATTTTCTATGGATTCTTCTTGTTTTTCACTTTACTAGGACTAAAAAAAATGAATTATCGGTAGTTTTTTATTTTTCAACTGTTAAATCTAAATAAAAAATTATTTGTTATGCATACTATTTTAATCTGATTAGATTTTGACCAGATCCAATTGTTAGAAACTAGCCCTACTAATAAACCGGCTTACCAGAGAAATTCCTTTCATTAATTTTATATTTAGTTTTCTTTTGTCTTTTAGTATTTATTTTATTTAATATGTTTGTTAATTAATGATTTAAATGATATGCAAAGATTCCCTATTTTTATACTATTCTCAAAACAAAAGGAATGAACGTGCTATTTGAAAACAATACATGTGATATTTTAGTATTTATCTAATGAGAGGGGAATACGTGCAGTAAAGCAACACAAGGCGTATTTCGGGAATTTTTCCAAAATATATAGAACATTTACTTTGCATGTAGGAAGGAAAAAATCAGAATAATAGAGAGACCAAAAAACCAAACTGGCAGTTATATATATATATATATATATATATTTAAATTCAGGGGGAAAAAAATCATCTTACCAGTTATATTTGTGCCAAGAACATTCACCAATGTCGAACGAGCGTAATTAAAGAAAGTTCGAACTAAATATGAGTGAAAATGAGTTCTTGTGGGGCAATGGAAGTCTGAAAATCAAGTTGACAGAAAGCGGGAGGATCTTATGAGAAGGGTGAGGCGTGGGGTTAAGGGCAAAAGAAGAGATGGTCATTAGCTTTATATGTAGAGAGCAGACCAAGAGAATGAATGAGAATAAAAAACGAAGAAAGAAAAAAAAAAAGCAAAAATAAATTCTTTGCTTCATTCTCAAGGACGGAAAAGGAAAAAGAAATTATCTTGGCTGAAGGTTGAATACAAATAAATTCTTTGCTTCATTCTAAAGGACGAAAAAAGAAAAAGGAATTATCATAGCTGGAGGATGAATACAAATAAAACATCGTGAGAATGTCGGTCAAGACTCAAGAGCTTAGACGACCATATCCAGAAACATTGTGGGAGGCATAAATTTAAGACGTTTATACTGTATTAGTAATCCTATAATTGAATTTCTGCAAGAAAAGTTCTTTAATTGAAATTTTATATATATAATATGTACTGCTTTTAAATAGTGAAGATTCTATTCCGTATCCATCCATTATAAAACTCAAAGGTATTTTGTTTGTATTTAAGACACAAAGGACAAGGGAAAAAAAAAAGAAAATAAAAAGAGGATATAAGAGAAGAAGAAAATGTAAAAGAAAAATTCCTTGTTTATTTCTTATCAAGGAAAGAAGAAATATATTAATAGGCCACTAAGTTATGTAATTTAATTTTTATATACGTACTAAAGTGATTTATTTTATTGTGCAATAATCAATACTAATCAGTGTCCTTCAAAAAAAAAAAAAAAACTTAGTTGTATTCTATATATACGTATTCAAGACACACATATCAAAGCAAATGAAAAAGAAAAATAGAAAAGGGCTGAAAAAGAAGAGAAGAAAAAACAAAAAAAATTCCTTACTTCATTCAAAATTAAGGACGAAAAGAATCAATAGGCCGAAATATAATTTAGTCATAAGTGGAGAATGAAAGTTCAAATAAAACTTCCTGAGAATGTTGGTAAAGGACAAAGAAGATCAAACAGAGAAAGTGGCACATTAAGATATTTGAGTTGTCTATATCAAATATATATTAGTAATTCAGAAATTAAATTTTGAGAACCGAAGTTCTCCAATTTTTTTACTTCCTAAGCATGTTTGTTGGATCGTATTAGAGCACCGTATCATATAATAACACAATAACATAATATTTAGTGTGACAATTGTATTATATAAACTAATATGGATGGTAAATTAATACGGCCTATATTGTATTATTAAATACAACTTATTTTTAGTGTATTATATTGTATTATTTTATAATGGATCGATGATTCATGTCGGGGTTAGACACGATTAGGGGTCGGAATCGGGTCGACATAGAGTTATATCCGAACTTATAATTGATGAAAAATTGAGGGGACACAATGCACATTTATATTTTTAAAAATTAAATTTTGACCCCAAAACTTATATAAAATTACACTTTTACACCAAAATTTTTAAAAATTACATTTTGACCCCAAGTCTCTGATGGTAAGAACTGCAGATTTTGTAATTCTTGGCCCCTAATATGAGGATTACGGCAATTCTAGAACCATCTGATGATCTAATACCAAATGGGCATAAATGATAAAAAAATAGGACACTTTTGTAAAAGGGGTCCAAAATTTTGGCTGCTAGTTTATCGACATGCCGATAGGCTGCTGGAAGTTAGTTTGGTTAGGGTGTGATCTGTTATGGCTTTAGGTGTTGGTTTTGATAGTCTAGCTGCTAGTAATGGTTAGAAGAGAATGAGAAGTATAAAAGGGAGGGATTAATGGTTAGAGAGGTCATGTCTGATTAGTGGGAAAATTTGTGAAAACTTAGGAGAGTTGGTGGTCTCTGAATACTACCATTTTTAGGGTGTAATCTCTCTTATTTCATCAATACAGTTCTATTTTTTTTTTTTTTCTGTTCAAATTGCTCTGTTCATGTTCAGTTCTCATCACATACTCTTGCCTTGGAGAAGATGGTTTTGATCCCGAAATGACCTGTGTATTCTGAGGGAAATTATTTTATGTAAATTTGTCAGGAAATGATTTTACGTAAATTTGGTTATGCTGTTTATGCCAAAATGACCCTTTGTTTGCAGGGGGAGAGGAATTTTAATAGATTCAGTGGGTGGCTCGGAAAGAACTCAACTTTCCGTAAAAATATGAGACTTTTGGAGGATTTTCATGTCCATCTTTTTGCTTCCCGCGAATTGAATTCTGGAAGGTGGTAAGTCTGCGTTTTGTATTTTTGATTTGTCAGCCCCAAAGAAGTGAAAAGTAAATACTTTCCTTCGACGACATCCTTCAAATTAGAAAAGTATAACAGAGAGGAAAGTATCTTAAAAAAACACAAGAAAATATCCACATTAACTCGCGTAAAATTTGTTCTTCCCATAGAGAAATTACGTTGGGCATTTGTCGGTTGTTTCGTGCACTTAGCTCTGGATGCTCCTTCTTTGGTAGTGTATGATAAATTAATTCATTTATTTTCCCCTCTAAATGGTCCATACTAGGGAGCATCAGTACCACCAGTGTGATCCTTGTGTTCTCTTAATGAAAATTAATTAATTTTTTTTTTAATTATTATAAGGCAATGAAAATGGAGCTGGATCCGCTAAAATGCTGCTCTAACGTCCTTTAACAGTTGCCCCATTTTCTAAACTGTGCTTCTATAAACCAACAAAGCTTTTGTAAGCAATTAGTAGAGGTAGCAGTAGCCTAAAAGCACGAAGGGACAGTGGATTACACGGTTAAATTTGCTTTTCTAGAGATTTTCTTTTGAAATCTTTCAGAAGATTCTGCTGCTGGTGAGAAGCTGCAAAAGGAACTTCAAAGCTTGAACAAGAAAGGTAGGCCATATTGTCTCAAATTAATGTCGTGCTTCACTTCACCTAATTAATGCATATTTTTGTTGCGACTGAAAAATCATTTGAATAAACTGATCACTGAGTCCTTATGATTGGAAGGAGTCCAAGTGCACTTGGATTTGAAGGACTCGGGAAAGTCGAGTGCAAAGAAAGCGCCAACAGGCCGAGGAAAAGGTGGTTCAAGTGCCGCAGATAAAAAGACTACTGCACGGGGTTCAGCGACTTCTGCCAAGAGAAAGAGATGAGAGAAAGTGACGTTGAGGATCAGTGGTCCTATCTTTTCATAATCGGTTTCGTTTGTAGGATATTTGGAGAGGGTTTCTTTTTTGTTCGCTTGTCCCGCATTGGCGTGCTAGTGTTTGTTCGGAAGGGATTGCCAGTATATATAGTTGTGAAGTCCTAGATGGACATTTTGAGTGCTTGGAATTATGCAATGGAGTTCCTGGTCCATGTATTTTCAATTGTTACGATGCATGAGATCTCTAACACTGATCAACGTATCTATCTATATCTATATCTATATCTATATAATAGAAATGGCAGATGCGGGTACTGTTACCAAACGCGTGGTAACAGTAACAGACCCGCACGGTAGGGTTTTTTTTGTGTGTGCGCGCGCGCGCCTAATTGCCTTTGAATTTGTTGTGGTTTAGCTGATTGATCTCTAAACTTTTAATTTTGACAATTAATTCCTTAAACTTATAAATTTGTTGCAATGTGTCATATTTTATTAAATTTGTTTAAATTTTTCTATTAGATTTAAGGAATTAAAATTTGAAAAATTGAAAGATTTGTGTTGCATTTAAATTGAAATGTTAAAATTTTTTGTTGAACATGTTTTTTCAAGATTAATTAAACACAATCATCGTCAAAATAAGGTGTATTGCAACAACTTTACAAGTTGAGAGGGTAACTTGTTAAAATTAAAAATTTAGGAAGTAATTTGTTAAACCACAAGTTTAAGGGCTAAATATGCTATAACCCCCCCTTTTTTTGTTTTTGTTTTTTGTTTTTTTGTTTTTTGTTTTTTGTTTTTTGTTGGCTCTCCATGATTTAGCTTTTAGTTTTCCCCTTTTCATCTCCTTTTTTTCCTTTAGTTTTTTCTCCTAAAATTTTATATTTTCTTGCTTAGATATTTCTTTCTAATGGTACCTTAAAACTTATTTATTCTTTCATTTTAGTCCTTTTTTTACCCTTTTTTATTTTTGTCCTGAAATAATATCTTCCTTTCATTTTAGTTCCTTTTGCCCTAAAACTTATTTGTCTTCATTTTGGTCCATTTTTTACTTTTTTTTTCTTTCTATTTTTCTTATTATTTCTTCATTTTAGTCTCTTTTTATCTTCTTTTTTGCTAATTCCTCTAAAACTTTATTTTTTTTAATTTTCGTTTCTTTTGGGGATTTTGTATATATATGTTATATATTCTTAATAATAACACAATAATTAAAACTTAATACACAATCACTTCTCACATGCTTAGCACGTGTTCTTCAACTAGTTTCATTCAAAAAACAACTTTTGGTTGGTGGGAATTTAGAGAAAATTCATGGACTATGGACGCTAGACGATCGAGTGCCCTCTTTTGTGCATGTTTAGAAATGAAAAGAAAAATGGTAAATAGCCATTGGTTCCTAACCTTTTAGGAGTTTGGCATTTAGATTCCTTGTCATTTTTTTCTTGGCATTTAAATCCCTAGTGTCAATTTTATTTTAGTCGCTTCTCTTGTCTTTTCAATCTTCTCTGGTCAAAAGCTACCGGTAGGAAAAACCCTTAAAGGGGTCACGTGAGCTGCAATTTTTTAATCTACTCATTATCTCTAACTGGACAAATACGATATTTTTAGATAAATATGGTATATGTTGGTTTTTGACGTTGATAGTTAGATTTTTAGGTTCTCTATTTATCAGTTGGCAGGGTTGGCGATTGGAATTCTGAGTAAATATGGTATTTTTGGTTTTTAAGCTCTCGTTTGTTTCACTAGTTTAGTTCAGTTTAACTTAGTTCGAACGGTAAGTACAATTTGAACTCGTGTTTGATAAGCACGTAGTTCAAATTATATTCCCCGTTTGATTTGAGTTAAACTATCCATTTAAGAGTTTAGCCCCCCCTTAAGATCAAATGTTCAAATCATTTTTTAACACTAAAAAGGTGCACTCTCTCTACTTTTTAAACCTATCAAACACAAATTTGATTTT